AAAGGAAGATGTGACCAATAATGACTGTAGGATTCAGGGTAAATTTTTCAAAAAAAACAAACGTCAGACTCAGATCATGGAAAGTATAATTCCATACAAAGGAAACAACTTATGTAGACTCACAAAGGCATTCAAGAGCTTAACCTGTTTCAGGGAACTACAAAGAGTTGACATTGCTATTATCTGGGGGGCAGGGGACAGCAGTTGATAAGAATGGCAGAAGGAAAAGAATGTTAGGGAAACAGCCCAGAGGCAAGAAAACCAATACAATTCTACATACAGTGGTCTATAGGAGACATATCTATATGTGAGAGTGACTGATACCTTCAACTAAAATGGGGAATAAAGGAAAAGAGCAAACTTTTTTTCTGGAAATACGAAGACGGGCTTTGTACAGTATGTTTAATTTAAAGCACCTACACCACCTAGGTGGAGTTGTGCAGTTATGTCCAGTACAGGTTGAGATCAAAAGAAAGATCAAGAGAAAGAAAGAGAAATTTGTAAATCTTCAGCATTGAGGGAATACATGAAATTTACCCTACATGAAGAGGGGGAACACCATACTCCAGATAACTAAACTGCCTTTCCCATTTTATATGCTCAAAAATGTAAGCTACTCCATTAGGGCCAAAGGAAGTACAATTTAATCTGGATCATATGGTTAGGATAGTAATCTAAATGAGATTTCCATTCCTAAAGCTTGTTTAACCACATTTTTTATTGTTATTAATATGTTATTAGCCATCTTTTTATTACTATGGTCCTAATATTGGCCCAGGATCTCCCAGAAGTACTCTGGGTATCTGTAGTCCCCAGAGCTCCCTGCACTAATCTCTATCAGGAGGGTCCTCCAGATCAGAATGCTGGTCTCTTGGATCAGAATTAATCAAGCAGTTAGTGTGAATGTGTTTTACAGTTTAGGGCATAAAAAACATAAAAGTTTAAAATATGGTCTCTATCTTTAAGATGACTACAATTCTAGCTTGACTGAAAAGACAAGAACACAAGTAGTATGTCCTGAATATAAATTCATCTAGTCCTTGGACAAACTGCAAGAGGTAATACTTTCTCCCTTTCCCACTGATACTTAGCTTTGGAAAAATCTAATTTTGCTTCTAATGGCAATTTTATGAAAAGCCACTAGATGGTGATATTACCTTTAAAAATGTTTAAGAAACTTTTATTTTGATTACGCTCTTAGAACCATAAAAGATGGGTTTTTCAATAAGGATTTTAGAGATTTTAAATCTTTCATCTTGGGGCACCTGGGTGGCCCAGCCGATTAAGCGTCTGGGTGTTGGTTTTGGCTCAGGTCATGATCTCACAGTTTGTGAGTTCGAGGCACACGTCAGGCTCTGTGCTGACAGCGTGAAGCCTGCTTGGGATTTTCTCTCTCTGCCCCTCCCCTGCTCACTTGCACGTGTGCATTCTCTCTGTCTCTCTCTAAATAAAAAAATTTTATAAAACAAAATCTTTCATCTTAAAGTTGTGAATAATGAAATATAGAGAGATTAAGTGACCTGCCCAAGATTAACTTCTTAAATAAATGGAAATGCCAGGACTAGAACCAAAGTTTTCCTGATGCATATATTTATTCATATGGGACAGTCACATAAAGAGAAAAAGATATCCCATCATTTGGGAAAGCAATGGAGCAATGACTTGGTAAAATAAAAACTCAGAAGTGGGTATATTACCATGGCTAAAAGTTTCAGGAAAAGTTGATCTTAAAATAGCTACTGAAAAAAATGAATGGGTGTAAAGAAATGGGCAAAACCCTCTGTTCTCAAGTTCTATATTTCCCAAAATGAGAAAAGGATTTTTCAAGTTTAAAGGAATCATTTTCACCCTAATTTTAACTCAGTGGTTCTTTCTTCTACTGTAGCACACGTGACAGAGGAGATCCACAATGGTCACATCACCTCCCATGTTCAATTCCTAAGTAGTAGAGAGAATTCCATCCAGTTCTCCAAATTCAAAAAAGATATCGGAAACCAAGTGAGTGAGAATGTAGTTGAAGCTATTACAGTGGTAAGCTGAAATGTGCTCAATTTCTGAACAAAAAAACCTTGCAATAATTTCTTGAACACTTCAGTTATTCTATCTGTAATAGCTAGTTACTTAGAAAACACTTCAAAGTGATTTAACATTTGGATGAGTGTTATTACTGTAAAGCCTTACTTTTATTCCTGCTTATAATAACAAAGAAGTATGAATGAAATATCATGGTATGTTTATTTTTAAAAATATCTAGAAAAGTTGGAACACTAGTATATCTGCTAAAGGCAGTATGTTAGAAACTGGTAGGTTATTAAAATTTACTATAACAATATATATATTTTAAAGTCATTCCATTAAAATTAAGCCTACTCTGATCTTAAATTGGAATTATTCAAATCTGAAAAAGAAAAGTTGTAAGGGAGTACATAAGCCCCTGAAAAACTTTGCTTACAAAACAATACACCAAAAGGTTTTATCTTACGAAAATTGGGTAAGCAGAAACATTTACTACACATTACCAGAAGATGCAAATTTTAAACTTCCTACCTTTCTAAGCTCAAAATTCCTGTATCAATTCAGTACAGCAATGGGGACCCCGGCTCAGTGAACACACCACACCCTTGGCACTCCCCTGAAACCCAACACTCCATTTAAAAAAAAATTTTTTTAACGTTTATTTTTTAGAGAGAGAGAGAGAGAGAGAGAGAGAGAGAGAGAGAGAGAGAATATGAGCAGGGGAGGGGCAGAGAGAGAGAGGGAGACACAGAATCTGAAGCAGGCTCCAGGCTCTGAGCTGTCAGCACAGAACCCGACGCAGGGGTTCAACGCATGAGCAGCTGTGAGATCATGACCTGAATGGACACTTAACCGACTGAGCCACCCAGGCACCCCCCAACACTCCATTTTTAAAAGGTAAAATAAATTAGAAAATGTATTTTGATAGGTAAAACTTGACTTTACAGTCCATTTTTCTGGAACATATCTATTCTAATGTGAATAAATATCAACATAAAATGAATTATACAGTGGAACTTTCTCACAATAGTTTGTTTAAATAAAAGATTCTAATGAGTTTACAACAAACATATAACTATATATAAAATTTGAGGTTTTTTTAAAAAAAAGGAAGTCCAAATTAATAACTAAAACAAAATTTATGAGCTTAAACATACAGTATAAAAAGCATATACTATACTAAGATTTTTCACTAAACATGAAAATAAGACAAAAAATGGTAATTTAGCTGTTCTCCATCTCTACTGAAACCTAACATGAAATCAAGAAGAAAGTGATTTACATTTAAGTTTGACAAAAACATATACCTGCATTAAGAAAGGATGATTGAAACTACAGTGAAATCTCAAAAAACCAGCTAAGAGGACAGAATCTTTAATTAAATAGAACTTCCCCATAAAGAATAGTCAACGAAATTTAGTTACTCAAAAAATATACTCCCAAGAGAAGTTTTGGATTAAGTGCATATTTGGCCAGTTTTTTTTTTCTTCAATTTCTACCAAGAGGCACTATTATAGGTGATAGAAAAAATAAAAAATTGGGAGTTGGAAACTGAACTACATATACTCTGGACTCTGCCAACAAATATTTTTTTATCTTTAACTCAACCCTTTCTAGGGCTCAGTTTTCTCAAATGCAAGATGAGGGTTACAGCTTTTAAGGCTTTAGAAAAGTTTCAAACTTAAAATAAATCCTATGACTCTTTCTTAAAATAAAATATTAATTAGAAGTATGGCACGTAAAACAACAAAAGCCAAAAAGCTCTGCCTTTTTAAAGTAGGTCTGTAACAATTGGTCCATACCATAGTTTCTGAGGGATTTAATGAATTCTGATGGGTCCAAAACACACCATTTAAAAACCTCTCCGCACTAAACAATGAAAATAATTTTCAGAATGACATAACAGACACTGCAAGATTCAAAAAGAAATAAATTTTCACTGTAAAAAATTCAAAGAGGATTTTTTTCAACCAACCAGAAACTGGCCAACATTCAGTGAAAGTACCTATTTCTGAGAATTCTAATTAACTTTTGTTAATTAGATTAAATTATAGTTGCACTAAAGAAATTACAGAATTGTCAAGCATAAAGTATTTCAGAATATATATCTAGAAATAAAGAAACAGTGCTGTTTGATAGGAAAGAAATAGACCAAACTAGAGATAGATTAAACCCAATTAATTCCATAGAATATTTATATAAAATCCACTACTTGACAAAAATAATTTATTTTGAAATTCCATATTAGTTTTCTTCTTTTTTTAAGATTTTCTTTTTAAGTAATCTCTGTACCCAGAGTGGGCTTAAACTTACAACCCTGAGATCAAGAATCCCATGCTCCACCCACTGAGCCAGCCAGACTCCCACATATTAGTTCTAATGAGGCAAGTCCTATTTCACTACCACCAGACCCAAAGGAGCCAAAATGGGATACACGTCCCAAGTGCAGCCAGGGAAGCTCCATACAGAGAAGAGTTATACAATGGAACTTTCTCACAATAGTTTAAATAAAAGGTTCTAGAGAGTTTACAACAAACATAACTATAGATAAAACTTGAGTTTTTAAAAAAAGGAATCCAAATTAATAACTAAAACAAAATTTGTGAGCTTAAACATGCAGTATAAAAAAAGCACATACTGTACTAATATTTTTCACTAAACACAAAAATCACCAACATCTTAATATCTGGATCTGCACTTAAGATACATTTAAAATGACACATTTAAAAAAAAATTTTATTTACCTCTAAAGTGCCAAAAAAACAATTATTTTTAAATTGAGATAAATACATAAAATTTGTAATTAAAACAGTCAATCCCAATATGGTATGAAATTATATTATTTCATGTATTTAACAATGAAAAGTATAGTATATTTCCCTTTTCTTAAAAAAGTTTATTTCTTAAGAAAAAATAAACTATCAATAAGCTGTCCTTAAAACTGGTCTCTATTGTCTATAATACTCATTTGAAAATACTCTTACCTTTCTTCTGAGCTATACAATCGAGCAAGTCCAAAATCTGCAAGTTTTATTTGCCCTCTGGTGGAAGACAAAATGAACATAAACTATTAGTCTACTCTGAAATCATACATATTTGTACGTATTCATAGACATCTAATCCTATCATACACATTCATATTCTATTCCTAGAACTAATAAAAAATATACTTATATAAACTTTAACATTGATCACACAGCAGTACCCCAAGTCCTATAAGGAAAGGTAAACAGATAAACAAGTAAAAACAACAACAAACAAACAGTACTTTTCCTTTGACAATTTCAGCTACTATTATTCTAGTACCACCACAACTATTACTATTATTGTACTAGTATTAACAGTATTTTAGTATTAGTTAGTTCCTATTTAGACAAGTACACTTCAATGAAAATAAAATGAGATTATTGTTGCTACTCAGTATTAAGACATATTACTTGTTCAAATCAAATCAGTAAAGCATGAGAATGAAATTGTATCATTTTAAATTTATGTTTAATTTTCCAATTCTTAGAGGGGCTAGGTACATAGAACCCTTTCTAGTAACTAAAATCAGAACCAGGCATATCTCACTTAAATTAACAAGGAGTACTACTTAGAAAAGATTATCAGAGCTCAGGTTATGCTGTCAGTAAAATGTTTAACATAAACTTTAAATATCTACTTGTGTGTGTGTATAAGTATATATGTGTGTGTGTGTCTGTGTATACACACTTCAAAAAAAGTTCACTTTAAAACTGTGATACTGGTGTAAAACAAATTCTAAATTAAAAAAAATTCTTAGAACTATTCTTAACCTAAGGCTGAAATCATTATTAATTATAAGAATATCCATTCACATTATCTGGAAGAATATCAAATAAGAAAATTGATTAAGTATTATTTTATGTACACTAAAAACTATTATCAGAAATTAACCAAAGTGTATTTAACACATGTTCAGATGCAGTTCTGGCAGTAATAACACTGATTATGTTATAACAGCTTGAGCAATAAATTTTAAGTCTTTTTAACAGAATCAAAGTATACATTATATAATACTCATTTGAAACACATATATCAGACTCATACCATACCTATTATTTAGAAGAATATTTGAACATTTAATATCTCTATGCAAAAAGTTCTTCTTATGACAATAATCCAGGCCTTCCATAAGCTGTCTCATAAATGACTTTATGTGATTTTCATTAAAATGAACCAAGCCTGATTCCAGTAGTCCCATCAGATCATGGTCCATATATTCAAACACCAGATAAAATGCACCTGAGAACAAGAATAGTTAACACATTAAAATTTTTATTCTCATCAGACTTTTCTATAGGCTCAAAGTTTAAAAAAAAAATGCTGTGAAGAAAATTATCTCTTGAAAAGAAGTCCTACTTTGTGACTTCAATAACATTCATCTTTCTCTCTGAATTTAAAATCAATAAAAACATCCCAAGGAAACAGAAAACTGTTAAGATATGGAAATCAACCCTACAGTGCATAGCTTCTGGGCGTGATTAATGTAAAATAAATTAACTGTTTTATACACTGAACAAATTGTCTCTCAGCAGAAGCTGAATAAAATCAGTACAGTTCATCAAAGAAAATTTAGAAGTGTTAAAAGAATTGTATTTAATAAGAAAAGAATCTGAGCCCAGTTTGATTTTAGATGATTTCTATTAAGCCTTCAATAAACATATAATTTAATTCTGTTTGTACATCTCCAGAGCATTTGAAAGCACACAAATTACAACTTTATTTTATAAAACCAACTTAATCTTGCTACCAAAACCTAAAATAGCACATAGCACATACATAACAACTGTACTTATAAGAGATCCAAAAACCCTAACTGAAGCTTGTAGAAATTGAATCCAAAGCTGTATCTAAAAATATTCATGGAAAAGCTGACAAAATTCAATATATCTATCAAAGAAAATAAGCTATCAATATGCCAAAAAAAGTCATCTGAAGAAAGTTAACAATCAGTTCCTAATTAAAAACAGAGCCAAGATCTTACTTATAGTAAACTTAAAAAAATAATACTCTTAAAAGTTGGGGATGAAGGAGTGAACTTGTGACGAGCATCGGGTGTTCTATGTAAGTGCCGAGTCAAATAAACTGTACACCGGAAACTAACGTTACACTCTATGTTAACTAACTGGAATGTAAATGAAAATTGAAAAACAAGTTTATGATGGTACCCTTCTCTCAAACCAACAACCAAGTCATATTTAGCAGTAAAATGCTTGGTGTTATAAACAAGAAAAAACATTAATTATTACTAACTGCTGTAGAAGTTAGTAAGTAAAATTAAAGACAATGAAAGGAAGAAAAACAGAATTACTGGTAGACGACTATTTTCCTTGAAAATCCAACAGAATAAAAAGAGACTACCTGAGTTAGAGAAAATCATATACAAAAAGCAAAAGGTGCATTCATATATGCAAGTAACAACTTATTAGAAAATAAAATTTACACGACTCCACAGAAGAAACACTACTACAAATGACCAGGAAAATAAACTTTAACAATAACCATACAAATTAATTACGAAATACCAAACTATAAAATTCTGTACTATAAAATGGTTTCAATAAAAGAGCCAAGGATTTGTTTCTATTTTCTCTTGCTAAGAAGATACTTAACTTCACAAAATAATGCTAAAATTCACCTTAAAGAAAACAAGAACCAAAGTACCAGCCAAAATGTTTCTGAAAATGAACATCTGCCCTACCAGAGATTTCATATAACCTGTAGGGACAGAGAAGTGTAATATAATATACACCAGAAAATAAAGCGTCTATATACATCTAATAATTATGAAAGCAAGCATTTTAAGTCAGTGAAGAAAAAACAAGGTGAAGCTGGTATTGGAACAAATACCATAACCCCACAGGAAGATGGGTGAGTTACACCAAAGACAAAACACAACCCCATAAAAAAACCAACATTTCACTAAATAAAAATTTAGAATCATGTACATAAGTAAACAATATGAAAGATAAAGGCAAGGGGTGCCTGGGTGGCTCAGTCGGTTAAGCGTCCGACTCTTGATTTCGGCTCAGGTCATGATCTCACAGTTCGTGGGATCAAGCCCCACTGAGAACACAGAGCCTGCTTGGAATTCTCTCTTTTCTTCTCTCTGCCCCTCCCCTGCTTGTGCACGTGTGCGCTTTCTCTCTCTCTCAAAAATAAATAATAAATAAACTTTAAAATACAATTAAAAAAAAGGGAGATAAAGGCAAATGGCAAACTGGAGAAATATATTTGCTACAAAACAGATTAATATCCTTAATATAAAACAAAGTCTTACAAATTCCTTAATATAAAACAAAGTCTTACAAATCAGTACGTTAGAAGACCAATCCCACAATAGAAAATGATAAATAAAATGAACTGTCAATATGCAAAAGATGCTTATATCCAAACACACATTTCACTATCAATCAAAATATACAAAGCAATATACCACTTTTAACTGAAGGGTTACCTAAAGGGTTTTAACTAAAGGGATTTCAAAAGAAAGACAATAAATACACAGTATTAGCAGCCCCGATGTTTGCGCAGTCGTGTTGCCGACCGCCAGGTCGGTCGATTCGTCATGAAGTTTCAGGCCTCGGCCGGATGGCTCTGGGCCTGAGGGCTCAGAGCCTGTTCTCCACATTGTGTCTCCCTCTCTGCCCTCCCCGTTATGCCCTCTCTTGTCCCAAAAAAAAAAAAATAAACGTTGAAAAAAAAAAAAAAAAGGCCTCATGAGGTAAATAGACACTGTTATGTAGTATCAGTAAATTAGAAGATTCATAAAATATAAATAGGCAATATACACCAAAGCTTTAAAAATTACATACCCTTTTATAGAGCAAGTGCATTTATAGATATTCAGCAAAAGGAAATAAAGATTGCAAAGATTTAGCTATAAGCATGTTCACTAAAAGCAATAGTGCAATAAAATATTTAAAGGCAAAACAATAGGCAAACAAAAAACAAACAAAAAACTGGCTTATTATGGTACATCTATACCATACCATGCGCTTTGAAAATTATTGTAGAGGTACAATATTGATGTGGAAACATATTAATGATGTTAAGATAAAGTAAGTAGATTATAAAATAGTATGTATTTGACAGATTAATCTTTGATGACATTAAATAACACAGTTAGAGAAAGTATTTAGAATGTGCATGGTGTTATACAGTTGCCACAAGCCACATGTGGCTATTCAACACTTGAAATCTGGCTAGACTGAATGTGCTGGAAGTATAAAATGTATAACAGATTTCCAAGACTTACTACAAACCAACAAAAAGAATATAAAATACTTTAATAATCTGTTATACCAATCACATTCTGAAATAATCTACTTGATACACTGGGTTAAATAAAAATATTATTTAAACAGACTGATTTTTTAAAATGAGGCTAACAGATAATTTTAAATTAAAATATAACGGCTTGCATTCTATTTCTATTAGAATTGAATTACAGGTGTAAGAATTAAAACGAAAACTATCTCTCTATACAGATGAAATTATCTTTGGTCCCTGCAAAAGACATAAATATTCAATGAGAAAATTATTAAAAACAGCAGAAATAAAACATAAAAGAGTCACTAACGTAACTACCAGTTAAAAGACAAAATGGAAGGCTCTGTTTCTAATAAAAGATTAATTTTTTTTTAATTTAAGGAATGCGCCAAATCCTTCAAAGATAAACTTGTAAGACTCTTACGAGACAAAACTATACACACAAAAAGTGCATACACTCTTAGATAGGAAGGCTCAACATGAAAAAGATGTCAATTCCCCCTAAGTAATTTATAAATTAATCACAAGCTCAATTTTTTAAAATACTTTTTCTTCCCTACAATTAAACATAAAGTTGATGTTATATCCACATAGAAAAATATAAGAATAGCAGTGAAAACATCTAAAAGGGGATCTGGGCAAGAGGCTCTACCAGATATAAAGACAGTGTTAATGTCTATAACTAGAAAGTGTAATATTTGCAAGTAAACATGAAATAAAGCAGAAATCCAGAAATCTATTACCCAAGCACATACAAAACTTTAATATATGATAAAGATGGGTGTATCATTTCAATAGGGCAAAATATGGATTTATTGACAATATTTGAGCAATTGAAATAGACAGAAACAGATAAAACTGGTCTTTTCCTCACAACATATACCAGCATAAAAAGCAAACGAAGTGCTAAATATAAAAAATAAAATCATGAGAACACTTAAAAAAAAAAAACAAACAAACAAAAACCATGAGTTTCTTCCTAACTTCAGAATGAGGAAAACTTTCCTAACTAGGAATCAAATCAAGAAGCAGTAAGAGGGAAAACACTTCCATGATGTGACTATGTAAAAACAAAAATCTATTGCATGGCTAAAAACACTACAAGGAAATTTAGAAGAGTTAAGCAAACTGGAAAATATTCAATTGTAACTTATATTCCAGGCAATTTATTAATATCCATTATAAAAAGTCCCTCTAAGTCGGAAAGAAAAAGATTAACAACCTTAAGAAAAGTAGGCAAAAAAAAGATACCCCCCCCCAAAAAAAACAAAAAAACCCACAACCACCAAAAAACCAGTATAGCAAATTGCCATTCCATCAATGGAAATTTGCTTAACCTCGCCCAGAATAAAAATTTATTTTTTCAAACTGAAAGCTCACCACAATAACAAACTGACAACAACCCTAAAGTATGACACCAGACTCTACTGCAAAGCTTGTAAGGAACACTCTCTTGGACATGCTAGGAATCTGTTAATATCTAATTTAATCATATTTAGCATTTCCCTTTGACCTATAACAAACCCAATTCTAGGAACCTGTCCCAAAATTCACTGACAAAAATGCTAAATGATGTAGGCACAGAGCTACTCAATGCAGCATTATTTCTAACAGTAAAAGACTGAAAACAATGTAAATGTCGACCAGCAGGAGACTGACCAAATAAACTGTACATCCACATGGTGGAGTGCTGTGTAGCCATAAAAAGAGGTGATGACAATCTCTACCACTATGGAGGAAAGAACCAGGCACAGGAGATCATTTACTATTATGCTCCTATTTATACAAAGAGAGGAGGGTGAATATGTAGAAAAGAAACTGAAATGAATTAAACTTTAAAAACAAAAACATAACAGTTACCCATGGGAAAGGGACAGAATGAGAAAAAGAGAAATGCGAGTGAGCCTATTCTGAATGTGCCCTGTTTTAAAGTTGTGAGTTTAGAGTCATGTAATGTTTTACATGATAAA